AAAGTGAGCATCTGATCCAGTAAAAATACGACTATCTGATCGCGAAAACTAACAGCCTGTACATTAGTAATCGAGAGGATGGAGCGAAGTCAAGGCACCAGCTTTGAAGATCTCATCCGAAATAGTCTTGATCTGATCCACTTCGCCAGTTCGTGTCAGTATGTCGGTCATCAGCAAGTTAACACGCGCACAAGCCTAAAATAACTTCCTATCGATAAAAACTGATAAAATTCTATTGATAAAATTCACACAACAGTTCGTATCATACCAAGACAAAAATCAGTGAACAAATGTCTCTAGCTGCTTTAATACCTCCAAGTACTCTCCGAAAATTGAAACGCGGTGCTGAAGAGAGCCGATAATTTCCGGCAAATTTTCGAAAAGGATGTCAGTGGAACAGAGGAATAAAATTCCATTCACGCTATAATCACAAAAAACTAAAAATTACAACAGATCGCGGCTACTTCGTACAGCTAATGCCGATCAAAACATAAGTATTGAAAGGCTTTTTTGTCATATTTTCAATATTTTGTGATTATGCCAAAAATATTAAGACCACCCAGACAGTCGGTATGGGGTTACTTTTCAGTAATGTTACTGAGATGATCCTGTAAACGAGGTGCAGCTATGTCGGACTCTTTTGTTCCACAGCAGTGAGAAAATAATGGCGAAACTTAATAAAGGTATACAATAAGGATGCACACTGGGCCGTTCTACTAGCTCGAATGTCTGAAGTGGCGTTGATACGGAGAGCACAAGATCGTTAACGATGGCCAGCCAGCTGCACAAGCAAGGAACCAGACCAGCTGAGCCCTTTGTTCCAAGATAGGACATATAAGCATGTAAGGGTAAATAAATAGCGAAAAGCATCAGGGTAGCCGGCTCGACTATGCGTTTTGCGCAGTTCCGCCCAACGAACGTTTGCTTACTAAAAATATAACTGTTTTATACTTTCGTGTACGGAAAAACAATAGATATGCTGTCTTTTTTCTAAGGAGAGGAATTTCTCACTGAAAATTTCACGTGTCGGTACGTGAAAGCTGAATTCGAAAATACAAATGGGAAACATCCCTCCAAATTTCAACCTTGTAATTTTTCGGTTTCCGAGCCAGCGACTTTCACATCACAATTCTCACGTGGTATTACGTAAGACCTCTGCACACTTAGCAGCTGTGTTTGAGTTTGTGAGATAACTGCAGTGGCAGAAAAAATCATCCTGAAATTTCAGCTTTCTAGCTTTCATGGTTTCCGAGATAATTTTCCGTCAAAATTTCCACGGGGCCATACGTAACACCCAAGCGCACGGGAAACTGAATTTAAATTTTTCGGGTTACACTTGGTCAAGGGACCCATAAAATTCCAGCTCTCTAGCCTCTGCGGTTGCTGAAATAATGATTTTACCTGATAAAAATTTACGAGATCGCGCGTGTTACCCGCAGGCACGG